ATTGTCCCATTTGTTAGGAAATGGAAAGACTTAGAAAAAATTATATGAAGTGAAGTAAGCCAGGCCCAAAGAAACATAGGTCCCATGGTTTCCCTTATTTTCAATAACTAGTATATGTCTGAGTCAAGCAGAAAAGGTCAGATAAGTTGATATTAGGGAAATGAACCCTAAGATATGTATTCAAATGTTTTTTTTCTTTCATGTGATTGTTTTTAACACATTTATAAGATTATTTCTTTGTTGCTTTGTATGTCCCTCCCCCACGGTATAACCCCTGCTTTCACTGTATTTGATGTTGTTATAATTTGTGGAGGGGAAGGGGAAAAACAAATCGTTAAAATAGGGATACAGGTGGACCCATTGCAACAATGAGACGCACAAGTTGTTTTACGTCAAAAATGAACTTTACAACTTTGGTGTGGGGGGGAGGAGTTTTGGGTAGGGGGGTGGGGGAGAGAGGATGGGAAGGGATGGGAAGGGGAAACAAAGGAGGAGGCTACAATGCTTGGTAAGAAATGTACTCATTGTCTTGCCCATGTAATTGTAACCCCTCTGTACAGTATTTTCACAATAAAAAAAAGAAAAGAATACAGCAGTGCCCTTTATAAACCATGATTATTGAGAAAAACCAAATGCTAATGCAAAAGCCCATTGTGAACCCAAGCTTAAGGGGAAAACGTGCAAACAACCTGGTTAAGTCCTAAACTATCTCAACAAGGTGTCCTATTCTCATGATCCAGTAACAAAAAAGGATTGGCAGGGGGAAAAAACACACAACAATTATGTAAGCTTAGTGAGTCAAGGTGAATCTCATATTCATTTAGTGGAGAATCTTACCTCTACATGGAATGGGTGTTCCAGAAAAAGACATCAAACAGTTGGGTGTTGCTGTTTTTATTTTTGGCAACATATAATTTGTGTTGGGCTTTGACAAAGGGCTGGGCAAGGCTAATGTGGCTTCTCTGTTTACAGACTGTGGGTTGAATGTACACAAGCAGTGTTCCAAGCATGTTCCCAACGACTGCCAACCTGATCTCAAGAGGATCAAGAAAGTGTATTGCTGTGACCTCACCACACTCGTAAAAGCCCACAACACGCAGAGGCCCATGGTGGTTGACATATGTATCCGAGAAATTGAAGCAAGAGGTTTGGAAAATGCTCTCTCCTAGACTGCTATAGTAGTATACTTTCTACTCATTATTTTTTACTGTTATCAAAGGAAACTGACACATTCTGCAACTCTTGTTGGTAAAATGACCTGCACACATAGAAACACATTCAGGAAAATAACCTATGTCCACGTGCTGGTGTCAGTTTCTATTTCCTATAATGAAAGGAACTACCATTCACAACTTTAAGAAATTCTTATGTGGCATGGGAAATTAGAAGGACAAGTGCACATTGCAGGTGACCATATTAAAGCACCATGGAGTTTAAGAGGAAAATGTCTTATTCTTATATAAGGACATTTAAGAACAACTTCTGATGGAAAAGAGTTTTGAATTGGATCTTTAAAAGTGCTTATATTGAGAGGGTTTTTTTTTCCTTCATTGCTATTTTTGTTTTCTTTTCCTTTTGTCTTGTTTATTTATTTATCTGCCTTTGGGAGGGAAAAGGGAGTACAGAAGTGGAGGGAAAAAGGATGAATGAATGCAGCAGCAGTACTCACTAGACACTATGTGGAAATTGAACTATACAACTTGTGAGTGGGAACTGGGAGGTAAACACTGAGATAGAGCAAGAGAAGGGGTGACATTGTCTAAAAATGCACTCTTTACCTGACTATATAACTAAAACTCCTTTGTACATAACCTTTATAATGACAATTTTTATGTATTTATTTAATGTATAATCTTTTTCTAAGTGCTTATATTGACAGGAGCTAGGGGCTCATGCCTGTCATTCTAGCTACTCAGAAGGATGAGATTTGAAAATTGTGGTTCAAAGCCTGTCTGGGCAAGAAAGTCTGTGAGATCCTCATCTCTAATTAGGTGCCTCATAAGCCAGAATTGGAGCCGTGACTTAAGTGGTAGAGCACTAGCCTTGAGCAAAAAGTCTCAGGAACACAGCCCAATCCCTGTGTTCAAGCTTCACACAATAAACACTGACACAATAAAAAGAACTTAAGTAATAAAATGGTGGGTCTACATATACTATTACCTTTCAGATAAAACTCCACTTCTAATATTGGTCATGTTTATTTCTAAGAAAACATGAAAAAATTGTAAAGATCTATGCAATGAGAATATTGAGGCATCCAGGCACTGGTGGCTCACCCCTGTAATTGTAGCTACTCAGGAGGCTGAGATCTGAAGATCACCATTCAAAGCCAGCCCAGGCAGGAAAGTCCATGAAACTCTTATCTCCAATAAACCACCAAAAAAACCAGAAGTGGTGCAATGGCTGAAGTGGTAGAGTGCTAGCCTTGAGCTGAAGAGCTGAGGGACAGAGCCCAGGCCCAGAGTTCAAGCCCCACAACAAAGAAAAGAAAGAAAGAAGAAAGAAAGAAAGGAAGGAAGAAAGAAAGAAAGAAAGAAAGGAAGGAAGGAAGGAAGAAGAAAGAAAGAAAGAGAAAGAAAGGAAAGAAAGAAAGGAAAGAGAGAAAGAAAGAAAGAAAGAAAGGAAAGAGAGAAAGAAAGAAAGAGAGAGAGAAGGAAGGAAGAAAGGAAAGGAAAGAAAAGAAAAAAAGAAGAGAAAATATTAATGCAACAAGGAAAACAAAAACACTTTCCAAATTGCACTGGAATTCTCTTTATTTTTGCTTTCTTTGGCTCCTATTCAGTATCAGTGTTCATACTGTGATTAGCTTAGAAGAACTTGAATTGCTGGATATAGCTTGGATAACCAGTCCATATATAAGACCTTTGTAATGTTTTAACTATTTAATATATCCTGCTATAATTGATGTCCATCATAGTATGCATTGGCTTAACATATCCTATAAGTGTCTAATCATTGGCCAATTATTTCATTCATTCCAAAACTAAACAAAATAGAATGTTGTAATTTGTTATCTTTATTTTAGGAATAGGAAATTATTCTCTCCACTGGAATATGAAAGTCATAGCTATTCTATTCCTTGATGACTTGCTCCTGTAGTCACAGGCCATAAAAAGGCCTCCTCCCTTTTCTCTGCTATGGCTCTCACAGCAATAAATGCCCTGAGATCTAGAGAAGACATTGGTGTAAAGGCTGGGGTAGCTAAGAGGAGAGGGGGCTGCCCTGACTCTGGGGGAAAAATAGGGACAGTTGACCTGGGTCCTACTTTTTGGAATTTGGAAGAAATCGTTGTCAAAGACTGAAATTACTTTTATGGAGAAGTTTGGATCATCCCATGGGTGATCTTCATCTGAGAAAATTCAGTAATCCAAAGTTACCACTAGGTCTATTATTTAGGAGCACAGTACTAAGCATGCCTATTACAATGGATAGAATAGCACAAATTAGGCATTTATTTCAGCAAAGTCTCAGTGGGAGATTAGAGCTACAGAGGCCTGAGCAAGTATGTGGAACCCAGTGATCCACTGGAACAAATCTCACCTGATATGTTTCCAACTGTGTGGCCACCAATGTAAATGTAACCTTAAGGAAGTTGCTTATTTTGTCTGAATGGATTCTTCCTTTATTTATAAAGTGAGTGTACTCAGTTGTACCTCATAAGATAATGGTAGCATTAAAATGGGTTTACACACAAATGATCTATTACAGTTGCCAACATATGGGACTTGATCTGTGTTCTTGCAACATCTCTTAGAATGGCCAACTCACCTAATTCTACCTTCAAACCTGTTAGCAGACTCGTTTACTTATATGGGTTTTAATGTTGCCATAAAAATGCCAAACTATGGTGTCTTCAGCAAAGTGGAAACCAAAACTTATCTCTCCAGAAACCATCTCAGCACTGGAAACAGTCCAGGGCTAGCTGACAGTTCCGTGATGGCAGGAATCCAGGCCCTGCAATTTCCTGTTATACTTGAGCACTATCTTCATCTGTGTGATCCAACTTTGTTAACTCCATCTCATCTGCAGTCCAACCAATGGGAAGGGGAAAGAGATTCTTTCCCTTCAGTTCCACACCCCTAAAGTATATATTTTTGCTTCTGTCAATTTTTCACTCTCCAGAATTTAATGGCTATGGCAATCAATCTGTTGGGGGAAAAAAAGTTTCCATTTAAGACAAAAATGAGAGCATAAGCATCAGAAAATCAGCTGGCATTCCCTATTACTCTATGAATTCTAACCCAACCCTCATTATTTTCTTCAGGGATTAGCTTCTTAAGAGCTTCCTAAATGGTCTCTCCTCCCAACAAACAGGGGCTACTTCTTTGTAGACTATTATGAGGTCACTTCAGTGAAGTTCATGTCACAACCATACTAAGATGAGCTTGTATACACTGCCATCAGGAATACAATGGTACCCAGGTTTCATCTTGTGGGCCACCTCTAGTTGATCAGTGGCAATCTGGTCAGCTGATATTAAGGCAAGAGATCTGAGGTCAACTAAGAATATTGGCTGTAGTCACAAGAGAGAACAGATGATGGTGTTTGCACCATGTGTTTGTCGTCTCTGATGCAAACTAATGGAAACCCACATAAATAACAGATAATACATATTTGTTAGGGCAGGCTTGATAACTGTTTGCTAAAGTAAAAAATACAAATGTGTTAATTAACAAGAGTGCAACAAATTATTCCATAAAAGGTATTTGCTTATTTTTTTCTGTAGCTGTAATTTTGACGACACCTAGATTTTGACATTCAAGATTTGAAACCTGATCCTCTATTCCTTCTGCTGTTTTAATCTTATATATTGCCCACAGTTTATTAAGGAACAAGAATAATTTTAGCACATAAGTTAACAAAGCAATAAGCTCAAGAAGCCAAGTCTTTTTTTCCTAGCCTAAGTATACAGCAACCAAGTTTCCAGAATCAACAAATACAATTTTATTTTCCCACATGGTTTTTTTATGATCAGCTATCTGAAGATATAACAATGTTATTTATCATGTTGTCTTATTTATGATTAAACATAAAGCTGGGAAATATACATTTCTCCAATGAAATCAGAATAGGGTGTATCACACACATGTAGAAGTAGTGCATAGAATCCCACATATAGATTAAAAAGATACAGGGAGAAAGCCAGGTTCCTGTCCACAGCAGTAAAATAGCTGTCCAGCGGAAGATGCGAACTGCGGTTATTGAGAATCTGAAACACCAGTTCACTTTGCAAAGCCAGGCAGGAAGAAGACCTGATCTCCATTAAGATGTCCACTCATAAACAAGCAAATGAAGACAGACTTCTGTGGAAACAGGGACCGGCAAGTCCCATCTCTGACGTTAATGGGACATGATTTACAAGACCACTAACTATATTTTCTCATTTCCTGATAGCACACAGTGTAAATATGAAATTAGAATCCTTATTTTTAGATGTTTCAGGAAACTGAAGTTAAAAATCTCTTCTCCTCTCTCCCACCTCTCACCCCACAGGATTAAAGTCAGAAGGGCTTTACCGAGTCTCTGGGTTCACAGAACACATCGAAGATGTCAAAATGGCATTCGATAGAGGTAAGCATTGAGTGCCATTTGACTTGTCCCAGGAGCCCTCTCTCCTGGAGCCAGAGTCTATTCATAGTAGAAAAGGGTCTTCAGAACCACTGCATATTGTTCTTCAGGAAGCTGAGGAATGATGCTTTAAAAATCTTTATGCCTCTCTGGGGAAAGCTTTTTTTTTTTTTTCCTTAAAAGTCAGGATCAAATGACCCCGTAAAAAAGTTAGCTTGAAAGACTAAAGGGGAGGAGGGAATGGATAAAAGGAGAACAACAAAGGAGGGGTAATAATACTGACAAGAAATGTCCATTACCTTACTCATGTCATTACCTTACTCGTGTAACTGTAACCCCTCTGTACAGCATCTTTACAATATAATTTAAAAAAATTTAAAGAGACTCATAAAGCCAGGTACTGGTGGCTCACACCTGTACTCCTCACAAATCAGGAAGCTAATATTTAGGAATTGCAATTTGAAGCCTGTCCTGGCCAAAAAAAAAATCTGTAAGACTTTTATCTCCAACTAACCAGTAAACATCTGGAAGCAGAGGTGTAAATCAAGTGGTAGAGCACCAGCCTTGAGCAAAAAAGCTGAACAGGAACATAAGGCCGTGTGCTCAAGCTTCAGGACAGGCATGTGTGAATGTGTACACACACACACACACACTAGTAGATGAGTAGAATGAGTAACCAGCCCACAGTGCATTCTGTATCCTCATTTCAGAATCCCATCCTGAGCACCTTCTCTCAAGCTCCAAAGAAAGGAGCCTGGGGATGGGAAGGTCTCTAGCACTAAACCAGTGGAGTTAAGGAAGTAATTCCTGTGTTCTTTGTCACTGTGACACCCATTCTCCAGTGTCTAGAATCTCTTAGGTCAACTATAAACCAACCCAAAGAACCTAATAAAATATGGATTGTCAGGGCCCAAACCTGAGGACTCACTCAGAAAGGTGAAGGAGCCCAAGAATATGAGTTTCTAATGAATTTGCCAAGACATTCTAATGCAACCAGTCCAGGGAAGGAACCAATAACCTAGTGCATGGGATGCAGTCTCTGATGACGTGGCTTTCCCTGTTAGTTCAGGCTCATCTGGCTCCTCATTCCTGTTATACTTCAACAGTCCTGAAATGCACCTTCATGACTGTCCTAAGGAAGAGTTGTGTCCTACATTGTCCATCTGCAACGTATACACATCTTTGTCTGGAAAACACCTTTTAGTCAGACGTCCTTTATCTTTCCTGAAGTCTCCCTGACCACCACAAGATGGCCTGAACTCCATTTCCTTTTCCAACACGTTTTTTGTGTGTGGCAGCATACCCTCTTTTCACCCAGTAATCATTGCTGTGTGTCTTACTTTCCCTCTTTCCAGTCCTATGTAAAGGTAGTGTCTCTTTGTTTTTGAGGCACCATAGTTAAACCATGAAAGCATAGGCATACGTAAAGTTTTAATAACTTTTTTTTACTAAGTATCTAAGTAACTGGGCTGGTATTTCTTACCTGCTTTGCTCTTACTGTTTTCTGCACATTCACAGCATTGTTTTTAGCTTCAAAACCAAATGTAGGGGCAGGAGGTGTGCCTCAAGTAATAGTCCAAGTTGCTGAGTTCAGACTGCAGTGCAATAAAAATAAATAAATGAACTGTTGAGACATTTATCCTTTTAATTCTCCATATAAAAGTTGTTGACAGTCCCCATTTGATTGAAGTGTTTTTTTTGAAAAATCTCATATACTCCTTGATAGTTAAAATAGAGTAGCATTTACTAATGGTAAAATAAAAAGTCAGAAGATATCTTAAGAATGTTTATAAAATAAAGTGCCAAGACATACAGTCTTACTTATATATGAGGCAAAGTCAAAGCCTCCTAGATTAAATTCCCAGGAGCCATGAGGGGAAAGTCAAGTTCAAAGACACTTCAGGAAATCTGGAAGAGTCAAAAGAAACTGAAGGCATTCACAATTATTTTGTGTATGTCTTTGAGGCCAGATAATACTAATAGATTCAGTAGAACTTCTTGATTCCTTTTTATTCCATGGTCATTGTTTGAATCTGTAATACGAATTATGCGTGAAACTTCTTTTTATCAAATTGCTAAGGTCTTGGACCTCCCCTCCACCCCCCAAAAAAAACTGTGTTAAATTTCATTACCCTGTTGTCTTTACCTCCAATCCTACCCCTCTCTTATCAGACTCCTTTCTGTTACCTCCTGTGCCTCAATGTTATTAGAAGCCAAAAAAGATTTAGCTAAGACTTGTCAGGGAACATTCACTATTGGATATCTATTTTCTTGCTGTGCATGCTCTAACTTGGTGAAATACAATCTTAATTAGAACCTGGATCATAAACTATGTTTCAGATGGTGAAAAGGCAGATATATCTGCCAGTATTTATCCAGACATCAACATCATCACTGGAGCCCTGAAACTGTATTTCAGAGACTTACCCATCCCTGTCATCACATACGATACCTATTCCAAATTTATAGAAGCAGCAAGTAAGTACAGAGAACTACTACTACCCAACATTTTCCATATAATGCTTTTGATCAAGAAAATTTAAACTCGGAACTGTTTTAATGATTGAATGAGTGATTGTTTTGCCAAGTGAGGGTACACCTGTGTAATCAATAGTAAATTGGGCCAAGGTTACCAGATGAGCTGAACTTATACAAAGCCAACTCTTCAAGTAGAAGCTGGGGCCCAGACTGCTCTGTCCCTTCCCATCACCCTTGTATAAAAGAACCAGTGCAGTAGGGATATTATGCTATTTACGGAGAAAGCATGAATGTTTCCGTAGCAATAAGTCAGTAGTTAAAAAAAAAATTTTCCTTGGGTTCTGATGGCCCTAGGAAGATTCTAGTTGCTAGGTGCTTTTCACTCAGGAGGATGGGTTTTATTCATGTTCCAATATCAGAAATTCAAAATCCGGGGGCTGGGAAGGTGGCTCAGTGGTAGAGTGCTTGCCTTGCATGCATGAGGCCCTGGGTTTGATTTCTTATATAAGCAGAAAAGGCTGGAATTGGCTGTGTGGCTCAAGTGGTAGAGCGCTAGCCTTGAACTGAAGAGCTGAGGGACAGAACCCAGGCCCAGAGTTCAGGCCCTACAACCAGCAAAAAAAAAAAAAGAAAAAGTGGAGATTAAAAGGAAATTCAAAATCCGTGCACATGTCCTCCTGTGTTAATGTATCTGTTTCTCACCTGGGTAAAGTTAACTCCACCACCACTGGTGAAAAGTACCTTTAATATAGGCATAGTTACCTTTTCCATGTAGCAATGTGCTTGCATTGCACAAACAAACTAAAACACATTAAATAAAGACAGCTTCAAGGGTACCACAGGTAGTATAGTTGAAATTAGAGTGAGATAATGAGATTTCAGCAAATCCAGTGTTCAGAAGGACAACTAACACAACCAACTCACAGGTGAACAAAATGAATGAATGAACAGTTGAACAAAATGAATGCCAGGAAACTGGAATATATTTTCTTGGGGGCAGGAGAATGTCAACCAGACAGAGATGAATGGAGAAAAGGGTGGGCTAATGTAGTCATGCTTTTCAGTCCTGTCTGTGAAAATGGAAATAGGAAAATTGAAAGGATGGGTGGGGTTGGAGAGGTGGGGGAGAATAATAAAAGGGTGACACAGATCGAGGTGCATTGTACTCATAAACTGACAGGTTGAATTGAAACAACTCCTTAGGGATAATAAAATACAATTGTTTAAAAAAACAAAGAAGGATCAGGCACACTCTGCACCTGTACCAATTCCTGCAGGATGAAGAATCATCCAGCCTTCAGCCACCTACATCACAGACATTGAGTCAGCATGTGGTAATAATACTAAGCTAAATGTCTTTCTGGAAGGAGGCAGGATACAGGATCAGGGGAAATAGTACCTGAAACTGTATGAATTTTAAACTCTTCTGCTTTATGTCTAAGACAAACAAAACAGGCCTCTTTTTATGTTCTGAAAACCTGAAAACTTGAATGTCACAGTTGTCACTAACATGTGTTCACCGTGCTTGCTACAGAAATCTCCAATGCTGATGAGAGGCTGGAAGCAGTTCACGAAGTGTTGCTGCTGCTGCCTCCTGCCCACTATGAGACCCTGCGATACCTAATGATCCACCTCAAGAAGTAAGCCAACATCTCCCTCACCGACTGACCTGTGGGGCCGGAATGCATTAGCAAAAGTTGACACATTCCTCCCTTTTTCAAGAGGGGATAGACACTTTTTTAAAAGTATGGTAAGGGAAAGGGGCATGGCTCAAGTCATAGAGCACCTGCCTACAAAGTTGGAGGTTCTGAACTCAAACCCAGTAGCACTGCCCCCCCCCAACCACCAAATAAAAATTAATTTAAAGTGAACTGTACTGCCCTTCCCAGCTCTAGTCTTAGCTTCTGGAATCCAAAGTCTGGGCCATATCTGCTCCATGCAATTCCCAATTACTATCCCTAAGAGATAGCTACTGTTAGAGGCATGGGATTACCCCCTGAGATGACTGATATTTAGGAACGGGAATGGGTAATTCAGACAGATAAATCTAAGATTGAGAACCAGAGAAGTTAGTCAAGAGTCTACACTCAGCCAGGCACTGGTGTCTCATGCTTGTAATCCTAGCTACTCAGGAGGCTGAGATCTGAGGATCACAGTTCAAAGTCAGCCCAGGCAGGAAAGTCTGTGAGACTCTTATATCTAATTAACCACCAGAAAACCAGAAGTGACACAGTGGCTCTAAGTGGTAGAGTGCTGGCCTTGAGCAAAAATGCCAAGCCTTGAGTTCAAATCCCACAACTGACGAAAAAGAGTCCATATTCAGTTTTAACTATCATTTCTGTTCACAATGCTTCCATACTACCATTTTTCTCTTACCTAAGCCATGGCCCTCCTACTGTGTACCCCAAGCCCAGTCTTCTGGGCCCAGCTGCCTTTAGGGAGAGCATAGTCCCACCATAATCTCTATTGTTCTTTATACATGAGGTTTTATTTTATGTTTTTGTCTCCAAGCAACAAATTGCCCTAAAACTTTAAAATAAGAAAAATGTACTATCATCTATGTGGATTAGCTAGAAACATTATAGACTCAAGGTCTATAATGAAATTTCAGGCTTTCTGCCAGGTAGCTAGCAGATACAGTTTTTCAAAGACTGCTGTGCTGACCAGCTCACTTCCTCATTGACTTATTTGCTAGAAGCAACCTGCAGTTCCTTGCCATGTGGGACCCTTGATAGACAGCTTCCCTCCTAGCACACAAGAGCACCCAAAATGAAAGATACCTTTTGGAGCCTAAACCCATAACATCCTATTGCCTTTGTTGTTATTGTATTTGTTAGAAGTAAGTAACAATCCTTACTGCTCATATTCTCAGGTAAGGATTATTGAAGGCCAACTTGGAAAGTACCTACCACACACTATACCATCTTTGTCCAAGTGTGCGAGACATTTTGGATGCTATGGAACATTGGAGCTTCTAGCTTTAGACACTTCTCCTTAAACCTTGCATTTTGTTCCACTGTACATTCTTGATGTGATTCATAAATTGCCCTTTGAATAATTTGACCTTTGAACATCTGGGTGGCCATATCTGTGCTTTATGAACACTCGTAAGAAATGTCTTCAAAATAAATGAAAACCAACACTAGGTACCTAGCTTTCTGTCTTCCTGGCTTGTAAGATTGTTTCTTAGATCTAGGATGATCATAGATTCTGACATGTAACTCATAAAAATGTGTCTTCCTTCCAATGATAATGGGCTGGCTCTTCCCAAACTCGCGATAGCCCATTCTAAAAGCTACCTTTCTCTTCTGGCACTAGCCCTGCCATCACAAGGAAGCCTCCTCTCAGCTGCCCTCTTCAGTGTTATAGCCAATAGAATGTAGAAAAGAAAACCAGACAGCCATAGAAAACTCATGAAGTTACCATAGGCCAGCTAATCATGTTTTGCCCTTCCAAACCAATTTCCTTAACTAGTAGCTCCACTTTTATTTCCACTTCACCACGTTTATTTCCACATTTAGCTCCACTTCACCCAGTAGGTGAAGTCAATGTTAATAACTTAAAAGAAGAAACAAATCTGAAAATTGCATTTTCAAAAATAATCATACTGTTTGCAAAGAAATGGAAGAACCTGGAGAAATTATACTAAGTGAAATGTCAGGTGCAGGGACAAAGGATGTATGTTTTGCCATATTAGAAGCCAGAATTAGTTTATAAACATAGAAGTAAATACTTTGGGTGGTATGCAAGTATATAATGAAATGTAGTAACCGAAATATGTTAGATTCAAAGCAGAACTTAGTGTAATTCCTTAGAAAGACAAAGTCAAACCTCCACAAAATAAACACCAAGAAATGGGCACTTGAAAGGGGTGGGGTGAGGTCAAGAGGAGATGGGTAGACAAATGAAGAGGAAAGAGAAAGGAGAATACAGTGAAGAATTCAATGTAGACCCTACAAAATTAAGAAAAGTGACAGAAGCGGTAGGTTGGGTGAGAATGTTGAAAGGGGTGACATTGATCAAGACTTGTTTTATTCATAAACTGCTTTGATACATGGTTAAAAAAAAAAACTTTCTAGCCAGGACCCAGTGGCTCTCACCTATAATACTAGCTACGTAGGAGGTTAAGATCTGAGGGTCACAGTTCAAAGCCAGCCTGAGCAGGAAAGTCCCTGAATTTATCACCAATTAGTCACCACAGAAATAAAAAAGAAGACACAGCCAGAAAAGTAAGCTGTGACTCAGTGGTATGGTGCTAGCTTCTGCAAAAAAAAAAAAAAAACCTGCAAAAACAAAAAACTCAGGGACAGAGTCCCGGCTCTCAGTGCAAACCTTAGGACTGCCACACAAACACCCACCCTTACACACACACTTTCTGTGGTTGTGCTTCTCAATTTGCTTTTCAGACTTAAATACAGAGTCAGCATGTGAATCCAGCTACAAGTCTACATCATGTGTCAGTGCCCATGTTTGTTTTGCAGGGTGACTATGAATGAAAAGGACAATTTCATGAATGCAGAAAATCTGGGGATAGTGTTTGGGCCCACGCTGATGAGGCCTCCCGAGGACAGCACCCTCACCACGCTCCATGACATGCGGTACCAGAAGCTTATCGTGCAGATTTTAATAGAAAATGAAGATGTTTTGTTCTAATCTATCATGGAAAGGCCCTCGCCCTCTCCAAGCTGATAGAGCAAAAGAAATAAAAATGTTTCTTACACTTGCTTTTTAAACAAGTGACAGAATTTCCTGGACCACAGTGGATTGCAGAGTTGGGAGCCAGGTCTCAGTCATACCCCCCCCCCCCCCCCCTATGTGAGAACAAGGGTTAGGGTGGGAAAATCCCTGGCCTTGGGTCTTTTGCTGTGCCTCGTATGTATGTCTGTTTTGCTGGAAGAGTGATTAATAAATCTTTCTTTAACTTATTAAACAATGTAGACCATTAAGCTTCAGTCTTATCAGTAACGAAAGGGAACTTAATTCAGAAAGGTACTTGATACTGTTAGACATTTTTCGCTTACACAAAGAAGACAATTCTATATGTTAAATGTTAAATGAAACCTATATTGTAAAATGTATTTTTATGTTGGCTGCAAGAATGTTATTTTATTTGAGCAAATAGAATTCAATGCAGTGCATTGATTGATTATACCCTGCATTCTTTGTCCTGCATTCTTGCTGTGATGCCCAGAAAATGCTGACCACAAATGCAGTAGTATCTTGAACATACCTCTCATCCTTACCAGTGATTTTCCATGAGATTTTTACTTCCCACATATGTACTAGCTTTTTGGACAGCTTTTGCTCTTAAGCACTTGCATTCTGCTATTGTATAGTATACATTCATAGCAATTAGAGAATGGCCTGATACAAATTTTCTTTTGATAAATGTGTTGAGAATTCCCAAAGGATATCATAGAATTATTCACAGCTTTCCCCTATGATGAGTGAGTCACCTAGAACATGCAGAATGTGGTCATCTTGAAATGATTAGAGAACACTGGATGTATCTGGGCCATGTTTATTTTTTTGATAGCACTTTTCCTCTTTCTCTTTTCTTCCCAGCCAGGACCTGTGAGTTATAGTAATGGCACATGGGATTCTTGTTTCCTCTTGTCATGTTTCTGTATCAATGCAATGAACCTGCAGAATAATTGTGGATTTTTTGTTTGTTTTCATTTTAGAAACAAACCTATTTTTTAAAGTAAGAATGAATAATGTTGATTTTTACCAAATATGTGTTCCTCCTTAATAAAAAATCTCTCTGTATGGGAAATAATAATTAAATATGATTTATTACTATAGTTTCATCCTGTTGGTTATATTTATCTTAGCATGAGCCTTTCACACCAAGATTTCTATATTTTGTAACATAAGTGAACTATTTAAAACATTGAAAATTGTAAACCTCCTATTTCTTTTTAAAATTCAACTGCAGTGTCTGAAATGATTGTCTGAAATGATTCATGTAATTACCCGTCTTGCTTTGGAGTGGATAGAAGAGAATTGCTGTGTGTCAGATGGAATAAAAAGAGGACCAAAGTGAGTTGTTTCCTGGGAAGATGCCCCTCCTCGGCCCTGCCATTGGCCTGTGCTGCGTCTGGATCTCAAATTGGTTCTCCCTGGTCCTCTTCTCAGTGCTCCTCCCAACTGTACAGTTTTGTTTTGTTGTAGTTTACGTACTTCTTGATACTGTCAAAGATTATCTGGAAACAGTTTTATTTTGTGAAGTGAACAATACTTTGTAATTTATGATAGTGTAAATGGAAGGAAAAGCATTACCTGTATTAAATTCTTCTGTCTATCGTTTTGGAGTATATTCAGAGGAGTGATGTCTGGGGCCGACAGACTGGGGGAATACTCAAAATATTTGGTAATAGATTTTCCCATCATTTCCAAATCACAGGAGAAAGCATCCCATAGAGTCTCTACCTCACTGACCACTGGGTCAGCCAGTAGGTCAACCACTCTTGAGACGGACTGGGTTGTGGCAAAGCAGAAATAAATATAATTAGATTATATTTAGGAAATGAAATTGAAAAGTTTATAGATTGAATTAAGAATCTAGGATGACTTTCAGGTTGCCTAGCTTGGCAGCTATATAATACTGACTGAAATGAAGGACATACACAGGAACTAAAGATTACTTAAGAGAACATGAAGAGGTAGGAACCAGCATCTGTGGCTCACACCTGCAATCCTACCTATTATGGAAGCTGAGATCCTTAGGATTGTGGTTGAAAGTCAGCCTAGGCAGAAAAGTCTAGGAGATTCCATCTTCAAAATACCCAGTAAAAATACTCAGTAAAAAGCCAGGCTGAGGGCATGGCAGGAGCACCAGCCCAATAAGGAAGCAGAGCAAGGTCCAAGCCTTGAGTTCTGACCTCAGTACTGGCTTTGTGTGTGTGTGTGTGTGTGTGTGTGTGTGTGTGTGTGTGTATGTGGGTAGGTGGGTGGGTGTGGGTGTGGGTGGAGAGAGAGAGAGAGAGAGAAAAAGGGAGGGAGAGAGGGAGAGAGAGAGGGAGAGAGAGGAGAGAGAGAAGATCTCAGGAGATTTATTTATAAAGACCATCCTATCTTCAGGTTGGCTCCCCAACATCCTGATACATTTCATTGTTCCTGATGCATAAACTGTTTCAAAATCAATTGGACTCACTTTGCAACATTTATATGTCGAATGTTTTGGAAAGGTTTTCCCAGTTAAATACTTTGTAAATGCAGATAACTCAGTGTTTTGACCTGAATGTGATTCCCCAAAGGGTATATATTGGAACATAATCTCTAGTCCAGTAGTAATTGGAAGTGATTTGGAAGGACATTGACTAAGTCATAATAATGAAGCCCTCATTAAAGGGGATGAGTATTCTCCAGAGAGCACTCTTGTTCAATGTAGCTGTCTATGCTGGAAATCAGGCCTTCTGAAGGTCCTTATCACACATGAAATCTGCCAGCACTTTGGTCCTGGATTTCCTAGACTTCAGAACTGTAACTAAAACAAATGTATGTTATTCATTTATTTCTACCTGGAGATATTTTGTTAAAGCAGCATGGATAGACTAAGACATAAAGCAATATGAATAGACTAAGACATATAATTGAGTTGAAAAGATTTGATCAGAGTCAAGGATCTTTGCTGCCTTTCTATTCCCATTTGTAAATACTTCTCATATATCATATCACAAAGTACTATAGTTGTATATCAACTGCCTCCACCATATAATACAAACTCTTTGATATCAAGCACCTTGGGTAGCCCTTGCATAGGTACCACAGGGCACATCTCTGCTCATCCTGCAAGTCCCAACTCAATAGCCACCTCCCAGGGCCTTCTCTGCCTTCCCCAAGAAGAGAACCTAGGAGATGAACATTTGGAAGCATAGCTGGTTCAGAAAACTATGAAGAGTTGACTCAGGTGGGAAAAGAGAAGAAGGGGAATGAGAATAAACGAGTCTCCTTGAGAGAATCAGGAATCCAGTGCCTAACAAAAAGATGGACTCAGAACAGCCAAACTTGGAAAGATCTTCACACAGCACATTAAGGATAGATTGGAGGGTATAAGACTAGAGACAAAGCTAATCAAGAGGGTTTTACAGATAATCATAGCCTGACTTTATTTATGGCAAGAGTAGAGAAGGGATCAGGACATGGGATATATTTTTAGTTATTTTTGTTGTGCTGGGGATTGAATTCACAGCTTGCTAGGTAAGCATGAAGCATTTACCACTGAGCTATTCCCCTGGCACTTTGTAAAATGTTTTTTGTTTTATTTATTTATTCATTTATTTATTTATTTGTGTATATTGTAAAAGTGATGTACAGAGTGGTTACAGTTACAAAAGTCAGGTGATGTGTACATTTCTTTTTGAACAGTGTCACCTCTTCCCTTGTTTTCTCACAGGTTTTTCCCTCCTTACCCCGCTCCCACACAAGTTATATAATTTATTTTCAACATAGTGTCTAATATCACTACTGCATTTGTTCACCATTTGTCCCACCATTTTTATGCCTGCCAACCTCCCTAAAAGAGATAAACATACATACAAGGCAAAAGGTACAGAAATCAAAACAGCGACAAAGGCGGAAAAAGAAAAAAGAAAAATAACCAAAAAAGCCTTCTTGTTTCCCTTTCGTGGAGTCCATTTCAAAAAACATTATTTTATATGATCATATGCACATAGCTATTGAGCCTTTGTGATCCTCCCCTAAGAATATCCTCCTTTGGTCTCACTGTGTGAACATTTAGAGTTCTATTAAATTTATCATGTCCAAGTGTAGTTTTTTTTTGTTTTTTACCATCCATTGTATCTACTTGTAGGTTTTTAGGGACCTTCTAATTGCTACAAATGAGGGAAACAATGCAACCTATGTTTCTTTGGATTTGGCTTACTTCACTTAATATAAGTCTTTACATTTCCTTATGAATGGTGCAGTATCATTCTTTCTCACCCATTTGTTCCACTGAGAAACATATGGGTTGATCACATAGCTCGGTTATAGTAAACAGTACTGTAATAAACATGGTTGTGCTGGTAGCTTTAGTGTGGCATTATTTGTGGATAAATGCCCAGAAGGGGAATTGCTGGGTCATAGAGAAGCTCTATGTTTTAGTCTTTTGAAGAACCTCCATACTGCTTTTCAGAGTGGTTGAACAACTTTACATTCCCACCAACAGTGGAGTAGCATTCCCTTTTAGTCACATACCTGCTAGCATCTGTTATTGTTAGTTCTCTTGATAATGGCCATTTTGACTGGGGAGAGGTAAAATCTCAATGTTATTTTGATTTACATTTATTTTCTATCCAAAGATGTTGAACATTTCTTCATGTGTCTATTGGCCATTCTTACTTCTTCTGAGAAGTCTCTCAGTCTTTAGCTCATTTATTAATTGGGTTGTTTCCTGAGGATTTGTTTTTGGGTGGTTAATTTTTTGAATTCTAAGTTTATTTTAGATATGAGACCCTTGTCTGATGCATAGCTGGTAAAAAATTTTTCCCATTCTGTGGGCTGTCTATTTATCATGCTAACTATGTCCTTTGCTATGCAGAACTCTTCAGTTTGACACAACCCCATTTATCCAGTCTCTTTGATTTATTGTGATTCTGGATCTTAGGAAGTTTCAACCCATGCCTAGGAGCTCTAGTGTTTCCCCTATCCCTTCCTGTAATATTTTCATGGTATTTGGCTTTACATTGAGGTCTTTGATCCACTTGGAATTAGTTCTGGTACAGGGCGATATATAGGATTTAGCCAATTTTTTTTCTGAACATGTATAGCAAATTCTGCCAGCATCATTCATTGAAGAGGCTATCTTTCTTGGGTTTGGGGCTCCCTTATCAAATTATAGGTGGATATTAGTCTATGGGTTCATTTCTGGGACTTCTGTTCTATTCCATGGGTTTTCAGGCCTATTCTTGTGCCAGCTCCCCTGGAGCTTCTTATCTTTAGTTATTTTTCAAATAGGGTCTAGTCTGGACCACAGTCTCCTACCTATGGCTCCAAGTAACTGAGACTACAGGCATGAACCATCATTCTAACTTGTTTATTGAGAATGGATCATGCTAACTTTTGCCAAATTTAGCCTCAAACTGCAATCCTCCTGCTCTCCATGTCTTGAGTAGAAGATGTTAAAAGTGTGAGCTACTGTTCTACTGGATATGCATTCTTTAGGAAGTAATCAGTTTGATGTCAGGATTAAAATGAAGGAAGAGAAAAGCCTCAGATTATTTTTTTATACATAACAAAGTAGATGTCTAGGAAGGCAAGAGACTACAATAGCAAAGTTAGTTGGGAAAATATGTGGGTTCAGCCTGTGTGATGGGTTTGGTGCTAGTGATTTACCAGGTAGAAAGGTCTGGTTGGTGAATACAGCTCAGGAGAGAGCAATGAGGTAATGGATTTGGCTAAATCTAGTAGTATACTGACTGGGTGAAGTAAAGAGAGTCAAAAAGGGAACTCAGGTAAGAACAAACATTAAAGAATAGCAAGCTCAGAAAACTTTGTGGGAAAATCAAGAAATGTGAGAGGAGGAGGCAAAGTTAGGAGTACAAGATGAAGAGAGATAACTGGTAACTTATCAAGAGTATTTCAGCAGAGATGGTGAGGTGAAAGATGATTACTGGACCAGGGAAAGAACATAGAACCCAAAGTGAATCTTGGCAAGGAAAAACAAAACTCTACTTCCATAGGCCTGCGATCTCCCTTGATAAAGCAAATCATCTCTAAAGCAAAGTTTTCTCTATTATGTTTGTACACTCTTTTTTTTTATTGTGAAAATACTGTTCAGAGGGGTTACAATTACATGGGCAAGATAATGAGTACATTTCTTATCAAGCATTGTAGGCTCCTCCTTTGTTCCCCTTCCCCTTCCCATCCTCCCCCCCCCCACCGCCCCCCACCAAATCCTCCCGGCTCCCCACCCCCGCCCCCTGCACCAACACTTTTTTCAATAAATTAGTTCTTCTAAATCTTCAAAATGAAATAAGTAAATAATAGTAAAAAGTAAAATGAAAGTAAAAATAAAAGAAAAATAACAAAATAATAGTAAGCAATAGTAAAATAAAAGGTAAAAATAAAATAAATAAAATAATAATAAGTAAATAATAAAAAATAAAATTTTAAAAGCAAATAAAAAATTAAAAAATACTTCCCATAATAGTTATTATGGGAATATATCTTTGGCACTCTATTTATTAAGTATGATAACTTTTTTCCTGAATCTTAATCTGTGAAATGAATATAATTTTGGTCTGTTCCAATTATACAATCTAAAA